TCTAATTTTAAAACCAAATTATTTAATAATATTTTTTTTAATAAAAAAAAATTATAAATACATTTATAGTGGTTAATTAAATTATGCTATATTATGGAGGCATTCTCACCTTTGGATTGATGTTCTTTGCATAATGCCGAGTTTCATAGAATATGCTTTGCTAATCGAGTTCAAGAGAATATTTCCTGTAATGAAGCTATTTCTCTAAACGCTTATTTTAATGGAGGGACTGCCTCAAGGTTGTCGAAGTGAAGTTTCTCGGGATCATGCTTTATTATTACTTAAAAGTCCCAAGCAACAAATGGACGGATCAAAATATATTCGAGAACTGGAGTTGATGACGTCTTTTCTGATAAGGTCGCCGAATATAAATTTATGCTTTTTTGATAAATCCGAGTACAAATAATCAAAATGCTTCAAATGAAGGTGCCTTAGTTTTTTTTTGGATGTGTTCTTTTCTTTTCCAAAGGATTGAGATTTAACAAAATTTTCATAAAGGGAGTAAAGAAATGCTCAGTAACTCAGACCTTTGCCGCAACAAATTATTAGTGCATTTTAAATCTAACGAATTCAAAAGTTTATTTTTAGGGTTGGTTAAAAAAAGTATTAAGCAAGACGGTTCAAAATATTAATGATCAAATTCCAATTTGGAAGTTTTTTCACCTTAATTGTAACCATTTTTTCATTAAGTTTAACATGAAGATTACTTCATTTTTCTTGTAAGAGTTATTCAACCATTTTGCGTCAATAAGAAACGTTCAAGTGAGGTGATTTCTCGGGATGGAATTGTGAGAGATAGAGAGCTATGATAATCAATTCATATACTTTTCAAGTTTTATGAAAGATTTTGTTCGACCTCAAGATTTATTAACAGCAAATGTATACTTCTGATTAGGCAAAATATAGACGAGGGCTAACAATGATAAATCGATACAATGCAAATCATGCTATAAGTTTAATCAGTCCCACGCTTTTCAAAATAAATTTGTAAACTTGTCTCCAGGAAAATGCTGCTGAAAATAAAGTAGACTTACGTGATGTCAAGAGAGCCATAACATTGATGAAATTCTTTTATAATTCTCTTGAGAGTCGTCCGTCTTTAAAAAAAGGACATAAATATCTACCGCCTGGAAATACAACCATAACTTACATTTTAGCAATCGGTCTTTCGATTATGTGATCATGAAATGGAACAAAATCATAATATTTATGGAGTTTGAAGAGTTGGAAGATTATATTAATAAAATGAAGTGCCCACCCAACACGGTAAAGAATGAGACACTATTAGAAATATATTTTCTCTCATTGCATGCATCTTAACTGGAATTCCTTTGTTTTAATCAAGGTTTCTGGGTATGTATATAAAAATTTGATCCTTTTTTTTTTTAAAAAAAATATTACTAATTTTAATAAAATTTAATTTAAAAAAAATCTTTATCTCTTCAAGTAACAAAACTTTAGATCTTTACCACACGTTTTTCAATATCATATCATTTTCAACATTAATAGATTTTGAGTAAGCCAATATATGTCAGGAATGGATTCTAAACAATTGCAAGTCATTAGTGTTATCTTCATTATGTTTAATCCATTTACCAAAATATTAGAATTTTCATCATTCTTTAAAATTTTTATTTTAGTCTTTTGGCTGAATAAAGTACTTTAAATCCTTTAAATCTTGTTCGAACAACTATCAGCAAATTGACCCAACGTATCGGTTATTGGATAGCGGTAAATCATTCGCGCAATGCTTGTTCATTTAAATGAGAACAATTTTGATGCGAATCAAGATTACGATAACGTAAAATCCCTGGTTCTATGAACTAATGCAAATTGAACAATTAATCGATTCAAATTTAGATGGCGATGGAGACATTTACTGGTAAAATTGATTCGATCGTATTAAATTATCAATTGAGGAGAAAGAATTTGGATCCTTTGTAAATTTACGCAATTTCCTCCTAATAAATAGAGTTATGTAATATCTTATTTGAAAAAAAAACATTTCGTTTATTATTTATTTATTACATGTTCTGAATATAGTTATTTTATTATTAGTTTTGTGTTGAAGCAGGCAAAATTTTGATTATAACATATTTGGAAATGATTTATGGTATTTCTTAATTTGCCAACTTCGTTTGTATGTTATAATATTCAAATAAGTTAAAATATTGATCCAATTATTAAATTATATTAAATAGGAAATCTTTATGATTTATGGGAAAAATTATATCGTGTGGAAGTAGGGTAAGTCTCAAACATTCTACGTGATGCGTATTCGCCTTTTTTCTTCATAGTTTAAGCAAGAATGATTTATTATTCATATTTTCTCGGAAACATTTCACCAAATTTTAAATGCATACTTAGAGCAAATCAAAACGTAATAATGAATTTACACAGAAGGATCTATTTATTGGTTTCAACAAGATAATACTTTGCAAAGTTTGGTTATTAACAAAACAAAGAATAGCTGGAAAGCTGGAGACGAAGAAATATTAGAACGGTGTAAAAGTGGTTAATAGCAATAGATCTTATAATGGAATTCTAAGAGCAAACAGGCCTTAGAACGTAATGAAGATGATTGATAGAAGGAGATATTTCCAACAACATTATGTTAACCTTTGTGAGTGAACCCTAAAGGTCATTTAGTAATTTTCAACATATTCTTCAACATTAGCACCGATATCAAATCTTCTACAAGAATCTTTAAGAGGTCAAATTGTTAAATAGATTATTTTAATTTTAAATGTAGAATAATATCCAAGCCTTGTTAAATGCTTGAAAGAAAGACTTTAGAATGGATCCAAGAAAAATCTACAAATGATTGGCGTCAAACAAACAAAATTATATCCATACGCATTTTTCTGTGAAACATTAGTTAGGATACTGATAACTCAAATTTTATGCGCCTTAAAGAGATTATCGTCAACATACATTATAATCGAGTGAAACTGATGGATTTTGGCAATGAAAGGATAATTATTAAAATTGAAGAATTGACCGGATCCTAATGGTTATGTAACTATGACGGGAATTATATTGATCTTAAATTTCCTTTTTCATTTTATTTTATTAACTGAATTCAAATATATTATGAAAAAGAATTGCAATTGATAACTAGTTTGGTAATTGAGGATCATCTGAAAAGTTTTAATGTTTTAGAAATATCTTATTTCAGTTCCTAAACAAAATATTTTTCTCTTGAGCGGGTTCCTGACCTGTAATTGCGGCAAGAAATAGTGAAAATGCGAATGCAAGCATCTTATCGTTAATCTTGAAGTTGCTTGTCGGTGATAAGACCAATATTACTTCAAGCTTATTGGTGGAAAGAAACTTCGAAGAAAATTATGATCCAGAGGATATGTGAAAATTTAGACGACGTAACAAAAACTCAATAGTTGTTAGCATAGGATCGCCTCTCAGCAATAAGATAGTAGATGATCTAGTATCAGCAAATACAATTCCATTAGAAAGTCTCGGAGAAATTGTTCAGCTTGGATTAAATTCGAATAAACAAAAGAATTCAATATTAAGTTGAATTAATTCGATCGATTCCGTTGTTCGACTAAGTCTATATAAAAAAATAATTCTCAAGTGAACACTTCCCATCAATAGGTGCAATCATTGAAAAGATCTTTATTTCAGAAAATAACGAATACGAGCTTGTATTCTTTACAATCATTGCAAAATCCCAAGGAAGTTTTTAAGGCATTCTGATCGAATTATTATACTGTGATATTTAATTGAAAAACATTCTTTATGGATTCTGAATGAATGATAGATTTTTTTTTTTGGAGCTGCCTTTGGCTTAAAGAATTTGTTCGTCGATTCTGGGACTGTTTCTTTAAAAATCAACAAAGTGGACCTTGATAATGCCGAATCAATAAGATGACCGCTCTCATTCTTTAATTAATCCACTCAAGTTTTACTTTTAAGGGAGCTATACCAAAGAGATTTTCAATGAGGGGTTAGAAAATTTTGTGAAGATCAGAAAAATGTTTGCCTTGGTTTGTAACATTGAATTGAGAAGCATCGAAGATATTAAATCAAATTGCCGAATATTATGAAACAAGGAGACTTACGATTTCTTTAGCATACAAACATAAAGCGAAATGACATTTGAATAGCAAGGTTATCTTTAACGGTACCTTTGCACACGGCTTCACTTTCTTAGGGCTTCAGGAGAATAGAACTGATCTTTTGACCAGTGATATCGTTGGAATGAAAAATATATAATTCAGATATTATAAGTACTGATTTATTTTTAAAATTTGTTATTGTAAATACACAGTCTGTTTTTTAATGTGCACCTGATTCAACGTTCGTTGATGTTTAAGGAATTCGCTGTTGTTGGATGTATGTCTGTGGAATGCGTTATGAAATCAATTATCATGGATTGTAGTAACGGTGCACAGTGTATCCACGAGATGTAACTGCAAGAAGAAACTTGTTAATCGAGTTTAAATCATACTTTTAGAAATTTATCATCCGTTTCATATCGTATATTACATTTAATTGTTCTTGTACTTCTGCATCCCAACCAGCACTTGATTTCCTTTAACAGATGATCAAACGGTCGTAGATGCCAAAAATTACAGTATGACTCATATTCAAAATGATTAGGAAATTCTCAAGAACATTCTTTGTTCGGATGAGGTATACTTTTTATTTTTTTACGTTTTTATTTTAATAATATTAGCAAATTTAACCAGACTTTGGCGGTAATGTTTCATTTATATTCTTTTTAATGACAGTACAACTTCCATAACCGAAACAAGTAAATAACAACAATTGATGAAAGTAAAAAATATAACGGAAACGTAACTAATTTGCGCATGAAATTACAATTGCGGAGGCTAACACAATATTATTGTGATTGAGGATGAGAAGAATCAGAATTTGGCAATGTATAAGCAATATCTATGGAGTACATGACTTTCATGTTTATTTATAATTGTAATATAAATAGTTCTGCTGAAGTCCCCTGAAACTGCAAATTATTATATTTCAGGATCCAACGCCAAAAATGCCATTCTAGCTGCTTGGTTAATAGCAGACAACTTATTTCACATAGATTCGAGATGAATCTTAAGTCTTTAGCATGGCATGTACATACAAAACCTTCCGAGGTTTTATCAAACGTATATTCGATACGGCCCCAACCAGCTTCATTAAAAAGTTTTTCTAAAATTTCAGGAAAATAACGTTCCATGGGAGGTGTTTGAAGTATTTGAGAAAATTGAGGTATTGGAGGTGTTTGAGAAATAAATTCTTCTATTTCCGTTCGAGCTTTATATTACCGTTTGCATATGGGGAAATCCACTTTTTAGTCAAAAATTTTTTTATTGGCTGATCATGGTCATGTGAACAAAACTAGCTTAATAACTAAAATTACTCAAAATTTGTAGATTTCCCCCGACCGCCTTCCATATAGTACGTCGAACGTCTTCTCTGCAACAAATTCTCGAGCTTTAAGATGATCCGAAAAAAACTTTTCTCCCTTAAATCGTTTTTCTTCAATTAAAATATCCGCAGCGAATTGTTGTTATAGAGCATGAACATCATTGATTAATTCATATCTTGGTTCTGAAATAGTTGATATTTTGCAAAACTCATCTAACAACTCCATTTTTTTAGGCAAAATAAAAGTTTCGTTGAAGTTGTAAATTTAGGTAAAATAAAAAGTTTCGTTGAAGTTGTAAATTTAGGGTTAATATAAATTTTCGTTGAAGTTGTAAATTTAGGTAAAATAAATTTTCGTTGAAGTTGTAAATATAACAATTGAAAAAATTATAAACACAACTAAGAAAGAAAAGCAGCAAAAATAAGGAAAAAAGCCAATATATATATGTTTTTGATCCTATATAATTTAGTCACGCGATATTGGCAAATGACCTCATTTGGCTATTTTGAAATGACCTTTTATTGAGGTCAAATGTCAATTAGGTCATTCAGATATTTGATGTATTGTTTCTATGATTTGCATGAGGTATTACAAATGATCAAATCTTTTAATACTGCAATACTGCATACTACAAATTGGGAAAATAATGACTTGGAAAGTTTGAAATTGCAGCATGTGTTTTCTCATGATTACAAAAATAAAAGGGAGTTTATTTTTAGAATTATCTCGTTTAATTATGTAAAGATGAATCCGTTTCGGATGTTCTGACACGTATGAAAAAAAAATTTTTTTTTTTATTAAATATAAATATACTATAATCGAGCAAGTTTTCTGAAAGTATATTATTAATGAAAGTATTACAAATGATTAAAAAAGAATAAAAGAAACTTCTAGAACATTTGATTTTGCTGTATTTTCCAAAAAAAAAATTTTTAACTCGTGAATTACATATTATTACAAATGGGGGCTAAGCTATTAACGGGACCCCACTAACTAAAATTGATTCATATTAGATTATTTTTTATAAAAAATAAACTTTTTTTAATAAATTAGTATAACAATGTCCCAAAATCTCAAGTGGTATGAAATTGATTTTCAAGTATCAGTAAAATTAGTGTAACAATGTCCCGAAGGGTGATTTTAATAGCAAGTTTTACAAAAATTAGTTCTGTAAAATAAATTTTAAATAATAAATTATATATATTTTATAATAGCAAAATTTTAATAATATAAATAATAATTTAATAGTAAAAATTTTAAATAATAAATTTTAGTATCATCTTAATAATTAATTCGACTTAATATTTAAAAATAGAACAATTTATTATTGGTTAAAAATGTTTACTGTGGCGTAGTATTTTTTAATCATCATTTACTCAAAATCAATTTCTTATCCCGTAAGGTGATTTTAATAGCTTAGCCCCCAAATGTTCTTTAGGAAACTATCGAATTATCAAATTGTTTTTTTTTATTTTTTATTTTGATTACAAATAGTCAGAATAATATTACAAAAGTCAGAATTACATTAATTTGCTTTTTTTAAAAAAAAAATGTTCTATACTCATATCTCAATCTAATAATGCAACATTACAATAAATTCACGTGATCTATGATTTACAGAACAGCTTTAGCATCACCCGTAAAAAATGGTAGCCAGATTTTATTTGCTGAGTCACATAGGTGACTTATAATTGTGACAATTAACATTTTTCTCTCAAAATAATTTCTCTGTTCCCAGAATACTTAGTAAATTGAAGAACAGTTAGGATATGACGCGATGTGACAAATTTGCTAACCCCTTAAACTAATCCTAATTCTATCCCAATTCTAATTCTAATTCTAATCCAAGCCCTAACTTTAATAATAAATACCCAGCAAATAAAATCTGGCTACCATTTTTTACGAGTGACGCTGTGTTTATCGATTTATAGTGACAATCACTTTCAAATTATGTTTAAAATATAAATTATGAAAGCTATCAAAATAAAATTATATTTATTTTAAAGCTTGAATCTCTAATAATATTTTAAAAATATCATTTTGCATAAATTATATGATTTATAAAATTGTGAAATTTTAACTTTTTAACTAGAATAGCTATAGTAAAATAAATACCATTATTCAATTCTTTGGCTAAAAATTAGCTTAGTTTCTAAAAATTTCTAACATTAAACTGGTAGTTATAGAGAAATCGGCTTTTAAAAATCACTAAAATTACTAAAAATCACTATTTTATGTGTAATATAGATTTTCGTTGATTTTTATAATTTTTAAAACTGATTTCTTTATAATTACTGATCCAATTTTTACAATTTGTGAAATACAAATACTTAATTACTTAGAATACAAAAATTTAGTATTCATTTTATTGTAATTATCCTGAACAAAAAGTTAAAAATCTATTATTTTGTAAATCAAGCAATTTATACAAAATTACATTATAAATATTATAAATTTAGCAAAAAATTATTTTAAAATAATGTTATAGATTTAAGATTTAAAAGTTTTCATAATTTATATTTTAAAATTAATGTGAAAATGATGCAAGTATATAAAATTTATATATCAAAACAAAACATTAGTTTTTATTATTAGAAATTTTTTTTGAGATTTATATTTTTTTCAGTAAATATAACAAACTTTCTTGTAATTCCTTTTCTATAAATATTTATATATTTCTATGATTTTTAAGAAAAATATCTTAGTTTTAATTAATTTGTTATGTCTGAATTTTTTGTAATCTATCTATTCCATATATAATCATATCAAATGCTGACTGACCTAAATTATAGGCCAGCTTGATTTTATAATGCCTTAAGAAAGTTTGACCAACATTAATCATCTAATACATGTCAACTATTAGTTGACTCAAATCAATATCTGATGCATAAAATATATATTATTTTACTACTCTCTAATAAAATTCAATTTATAATGAAATTTTAAATAAAAAAATAAACTTTATATTTAGCATTTTCAATTACTATTTTTAATTTTAATTTTTATGCAAGAAAATCTAAATGTAAAGATATAATTCTATATTTATAATAATCAGTTCTTATTAAATATATTGTTTATTTTTCCTTTATATAATTAACATTTAAAATATAAGTTATTATATTATAATTCTTTAATTAATACTTATTTAATACTTTAAGTTAAAATTACTAGACGAAATTTAAAGGTTTTGTAAGTCATTTAAATGGAAAAAGATAAAATATAGCAAAATTATATTAAAACTTTATTAAAAAATCTGCAAAATTCTAAAAAGGTAAAATTATATATAAGCTTATAAAAATGTGAAATTATATCAAAACCTTAGTAAAAAATTAGCAGAACTATAGTTTAGATATTTTGCTAAATCTAAAATAAGTTTAGATAAGTAACCTTATTTTAAGCTAATTTGAATATTTTAAATGATTAGAAGAAAATACTATTGATTGTAAAATAATATTTATTTCAAATTTAGTATTTCTTATTATTAGTTATAATTTATTTAGACCTAAATTAAGATTTGTATATTATATATATAAAACATTTTTTACTATTACATTATAATTAATATTATTATTAAAAATAAAAAAAAATAGTAATTGTATTTAGATATATTATTAAATAGCAAAATTTTTTACTTTTTCTATTAAATGTTTTACTATTTACTAATTTTCTCCATCTTTTTTTTTGATTAAAAATTTTTATATTTTATGTAAAATATTCAAATATAATAAAATTTATTTATTTATTTAATAAAGATAAACAATAGTTTCTAAAAGAATTTATTGGTTTTTCTTATTCTTTTTTATAAAATAATAATTCATCAAAAATAACAACCTATATTCTATAGGATAATCATTATTAGTATAACTTGATTTATAGTTATGACCAATCAAATATTAGTCTTAATATTTAAAAATAATTATTGTTTTATTATTTTTATTAGTAATCATATCTGACCAATATTTCAGATCACTATCATAATGAAAAAATGTAAAATTTCTTTATTATTTTTTTTAATATTATATCTTTTAAACAATTTTTTATTTTAATTTTAATTTTTTAATAATATATAATTTATTAAAGTAAAAATAAATAAATAAAAATTAGTAATAAAAACTATAACTATAAAACTAAAATAAAAAATAATTTATTTAATTTGATTTGATTTTGAATATTTTCATTTTTTTAAACTTTTTTATTATTTAATTTATTTTTTGATTTATTTAATTTTTTTTATAATTTTTTATTAATAGATTTTTTTAATACTGTACCATTTCAAAAATAATTATCTTATGATATTAGTAATTTTTTTATTTGTTATGTATATTTTATTATAGTATTTGTTATATTATAATAATAAATATTTATTTATCACTTAATGCTTATTTTCAAAATGGTATAATATGCATTATGACAAATAAAATTTTAAATAGAATTAATTAGTAAATTAGAAAGTTAATTTTATTATTATATAGATCATTAGAAAGATCATTTTGTTTATTTTATTGTTATCAATTATCATATAAATCTCTAAATATCAATTTTATTGCTTTTGATAATCATATAGATTATAGATGTTTATGTAATTACCTGCAGATTTAGCAATTTTATTAATATAGCAATTTTATTGCTTAAGTAAATAATAATTTTATTTTCTTCAATATATTTAGTTTAGTTTATTTATTAATTATTCAACATGTATAAATATCTCTGTATTTTTTTTGAATCTTAGTATTAACAAGATGTTAATCTTTTAGATACTGAACTTATATATTATATTAATAAAGAAGTATAATTAACTAAGTATAAAA